GCGGAGCTAACCCAGGTGACAAGCGAGGATCTAGAGCAGCCTCCCGAAGCTTGGACCCTACACGTGGACGGTTCATCCAGCTCAAAGGGCGCCGGCGCGGGACTGGTCCTCCTCGCCCCCGACGGCTGCTCGTTCGAGCGCTCCCTCCGCTTCGGGTTCAAGGCCACCAACAACGAGGCGGAATACGAAGCGCTCCTAGCAGGACTCAGGCTGGCCCTCGAGATGCAGGTGACCGCTGTACACGTCCTCACTGACTCACAGCTGGTGGCCGAACAGCTCAGCGGCGCGTATGAGGCTCGGGACCCAACCATGGCGAAATACCTGGCGCAGGTAAGGGACCTGACTGCTAAGTTCCCTTATTTCACATTATCCAATGTCCCGAGGGAGGAGAACGAGTGGGCCGACGCATTAGCCAAGCTGGCATCGAAACCGGCCTGCAAAACACGCCCAGAGATCGAGGAACTTCCTGCCCACGCCATCGAAGTAGCAATTACGGCCCCCGGCAACGCCCCGATCACGTGGGTACAGGAGCTGCTGCGTTTCAAGCGGGACGGGACCCTTCCTCGCGATGAGGTAGCGGCTCGGCGACTGCGCCGTACACACGCGTGGTACGCCGAAGAAGGTGGCCGACTCTATAGGCGGACCTTCACCTATCCCCTTTTACGATGCCTAGAGCCGGATGAGGCCCAGACGGTCCTGGCCGAAGTCCACGAGGGGGTCTGCGGAGAGCACAGCGGAGGGTGAACCTTGGCGCACAAATTGCTTCGCCAGGGGTACTACTGGCCGAGCATGTGCCGGGACGCAAAAGCTCACGCGCAGCGTTGTGGCGCATGTCAAGAACACGCCCGCGCACCCCGACAACCCGCGGTCCCTCTCAACCCCGTCACGTGCGCGTGGCCGTTCGCGCAGTGGGGGTTAGACCTCCTCGGCCCTTTCCCGCCGGCTTCGGGGCAGCGGAAATATATAATCGTGGGAGTAGATTACTTCACAAAGTGGGTCGAGGCCGAGCCATTGGCGACAATCACAGAGCACCAAATGGAGAAGTTCGTATGGAGAAACTTAGTGACTCGGTTCGGGCTGCCCAGGGCCATTATTACGGATAACGGACCGCAGTTCGTGGGCAGAAGGTTCAGGGAGTTCTGCTCAAGTCATGGCATCCAACTAAGGTTCAGCTCGGTAGCACACCCTCAGACAAACGGACTGGCAGAGGTGACCAATCGATCCATCCTGGACGGACTCAAAAGAAGGGTGTCCGCGGCCCGGTCGACCTGGACCGATGAACTCCCTAGCGTCCTATGGTCACTACGCACCACGCCCAAGACCGCAACTGGGGAATCCCCGTACAGCCTGACGTTCGGGACCGAGGCTGTCCTTCCGCCCGAGGTAACCATCTCCACCCTCCGGACGAGGAACTTCGTCGAGGAAGTTTCGAACGAAGGACTTCGTGCCAGCCTCGACATGCTCGAGGAACGACGCGCGGACGCACACCTGAAGGCCCTCTCTTACCAGAGAGCCGTCGCAAGGGTCTACAACAGGAAGGTACGACCTCAACCGATAAAGTTGGACGACCTGGTCCTCCGAAGGACCGAGGTCAGCAACCCAACCCGAGCCAGGGGGAAACTAGCCCCCAAATGGGAAGGACCTTATCGGGTCGTAGAGGTGGTCCGGCCGGGTACTTACCGACTCACATCGATGGACGGTTCTCCTGTACCAAGAACCTGTAACGTCGGGAACTTCAAGAAGTTTTTCGTCTGAGGCGAAGAAACCTTTTCGTTTAAAGAGGAAGAGTTTTTTCGTTTAAAAGTTTTTTCCAAAAACGGAAGCTTTCGCCTAGGAAAAGAGAAGGGAGTTGATAAAATGGAAGGGAAAAAGCCTTTTTTTTAAACCAAGACAAGATACAGGACCCAACTTACAAAAAACCGACCAACTGACAAAATAAAATACAGGACGCTTTTTCTTCACTGCCCAGGCTCCTCCAGGCGATCATCGAAGGGAACCTCCTCGGGCATATCCACCCCCTGGTCCTCGGGGTGAGGGGCGAAGGGGTTCTCCTCCACCTCAATACCGGGATGGCGAGCGCGGAAGCGGGACGTGGCGATACGGTAACCGTACTCAAAGGACACCCGCCCCGTCCGCGTGAGCCCGAGCTCGAACCCCTCTGACTTCTTGTAGGCCTCGAGGAGCTCCTTGTCTTTCGCAGGACGAAGCCGGGCCTCCTCCTCCAGCGCCTCCGAGGCCGACTTCGCTTCGGCCTTCGCCTCCTCCAGCGCCTCCGAGGCCGACTTCGCTTCGGCCTTCGCCTCCTCCAGCGCCTCCGAGGCCGACCTCGCTTCGGCCTTCGCCTCCTCCAGCTTCTTACTGAGGGAACTCGCCTCCGTTTTCACCAGGCGGAGCTCTGTCCGTTCCACCCTTATTGTCTTTTGGAGCCCCTCGTTCGCCTTCTTGGAGGCCTCGAGCTCCGATCGGAGGCGTGCCGCCTCCGCTTCCAGATCCGTCGCCCGCTGCTCGACAGCCGCCACGGCCTCCGGACCAGAGCCGGATCGAACCTCCTCGACCTGGCGGACGAGCTCGGCGTTGCGGTTGGCGAGGCTCCCGATGACCCGGCCGGCGTCGCGCACCCTGTCCATCAGGGCCGTCGAATAATGGATCCCCTGCACGAGGAAGATCGGGTCAAGAAAGCCGGCGCCGGACAGACAAGCCCTGAAAACGGAAACGTACCCAGACCAAAGACTGGGCGGACTTATTGAGCATCACATCCGAAGAAAGGGTGTACAGGTCCCGAGCCATGTCGGGATGAAGCGCCCCTCGGAGAAATGCTGCGGAGGGATCTCCCCCGGCCCACACCCTGTCTCCTCGGGACAGGCCTTCCCAATGAGCCACCAAGGGTTCGTCGGCCCCAGCAAGCGGGATCTCGCTTGCCAGCCGTGTCAGGAACGGCTCCCCGTCTCCGGCTGAGAGTCGGCACAGGTCGCGCACGGAGACGGGGCGCGGGCCTTTCCCAGATGGCCGTCGGCTAGATCCGACCCCGCTGCGGCGGGGGCCCGCCTCAGGACCCCTCGACGGGGTTGTCTTCGCCCTCTTCGAAGGACGCTCAGCCTCGACCTCCAGTGGGGCGGCCTCTGTACCGGGCTGCGGGTCGTCTGGCTGAGTCGGGAGAGAAGGTGTCGGGTCGCCCGACGGAGTAGGGAAAGGAGGTTGCGGCGCCTGAACCTCCAGGAACGATCGGAGCTTCACCATTTCTGCAAAAGATGGAACGGGTTAGTACCAAGAATCAGCCACGCCAAAACCCCAATCCAAGCGTCATTAAACGTACCCAGAGGCACCGGGCTAAGGCCCGCCTCGACCAGCCACTGTTCGGTCATGGTCCGGATGGCCTGCGACTTAGGGAGGATCTCTCTCAGCCTCCCCAGAGCTTGGCGCTCCGCATCGCCCAAACAGGGGGTGGTGTTATCAATCGCCCGCGCGGACCATCGGACTCCGAAGCCCCAGTCCTGCTCACGGCTAATATAGAAAAACCTCCCCTTCCATCCCTTTTTGTTGGAAGGGGCACCCCCGAT